CCAGAGAAACCCACAGTTTAAGGGGACATGGGAGAGACCTCAGGGGAAGCAAACAGAAGGAGGGGGGGATCCCCCTCTCCAGGAACGACGACCGTGCAATAGATCGGTGGGGTAAATCGAAAGAGATAATACATTTACAGCGTAGGGCAAGACCAAAAGTTTTGGATGCATGTGGTCCCCTATAATTAAAAGAAATGATCCCCCCCGAGGTTGTCAATCCTGTGGGGAGCCATCAGGAAAGTTTAGGTATGATAAAGAGTCAAGCAGGAACCACAGAGACGGTCCAAGCACGACTCAATCCAGAACTCAGATAAAGGAAATAATGATCTTCATTTATTTTTCTTCTTTAAACTTTATCATTCAAACAAGAGTTTTCCCCCTACAAAAAACTTTCCTCACTCACCTCAAAGATTTAAGGAGTTTGGTTTATTTGGCCAAAATCTTGAAGAAAAACTGATTGCCACAATGGTTTTTAGAACAATTGCCATGGTAGGAAACTCCAGCGTAGCCAACTCTCCAGAACAGTGTTCCTTAGGTACTCGTTATTATACCAAGGTATTTATCGCCAGCCGTTTATTAGGACTATTTCTCAATTTCCAAAAATAATCCATAATCCCTAATATAAATTATGGTTTAAATTCGTGAATCAACCTTTAATTGGAAACCATGTTAATTGTTTTGGGTATTTTCCCTCATTACAAACCACTTTTTCCCCTTTGGCTCATTACTTTATTGGTTATAGCATAATCATAACTTTATAATGACTATTAACCCCAACTTCTGTGTCCTTGCCCCGTCTTTATGGTATAAAATGTGGGCATAAGTATAAATGGTCTGTTGATTGTGTATAATAGGATATGCCCCCCCCCCCCCATATTTATATATTTGTAATTCAGGATTGTGGGAAAACGGTATTGCGATCTCTCTGTTCGACCACAAACGAAAGATTGACAATAAAGTTTGACTTTGGGGGACTTCCTCCACCAGCCGACGAGGAGGTGGAGGGCCCGAAGGGTGGCGAGGAGAAGCTCCAGGGAGGGGAAAAGGGGATCGGATGAAGCCCCGAGCCGAGAGATGAATCCGGGCGGACGAGCACCCGGCGGCTGCCCCCCTGGGCTGACAGCCCAACAGCACGTCTCCTTTTGGACCTAGCTGGGAAGCTGGCCAAGCACGGAGAAGAGATTGGGCAGAGAGCAGGGGGCGAGCTGCTGGAGCGCACGACCAGGAGGGCCAGGAGTGGGGCCGGCGATGAAGGGCCCTGCACCGCAAAGAAATGGAGGAGGTGAGGGGGTCCTTAGAAAATCACTCGGTACGCTGAAGCTTTCAATATCAGGGACACATGTAATTTGTGTCCCCTCTCCAGAATGGAAGTTCATCACCAATACAGAGCATCAACTAAAGTTCCCTGAGCAGTGTCCTTCACCATGCTGAACCCAACAGAGAGGGGAGTTACAACAGTCACTAGATGAGGAATAGAAGCAGTTTCATTTTACTTTCGATAGCTCCAGGTCAGAAATGAAATCATGCTTGTCATATCTCTCTCCCATAGAGGCTTGGGATCATGATTGTTTAATCACATAGCCCTATCATTGGCCCTAAAGCATCCCTGATGCTCTTTCTAGTAACACACATCCTGTTACCGACACGCACGTAGGGCCCTTTTATTATCATGTTGGCACTCCTGAACAATTGGGAAGAGTACATTCAGTATTTTCAACAGAAGGACTTTAGTCTTTTTATTTATGAACTCATCCACATTGGTCCTCTCTGTTCTCTCCCCCTGAGGTTCTTAAACATTTCCAATTACTTTTGGGGTTCATTTGAAGTTTTCAGAGTGGGGTCCGATTCGGTAATTCTGGTACAAACCATAAGTCCCTGGAGAAAGGCCAATTGCCCAATCTCCATCTCTTTCAGAGAACACCTTCATGGGTGTTGCCTAGCCTAAAGGTAATATCCATTTACATTCATGCAAGCAGAGAAAATCAGATCAGCTAGATTACAGCTAAACATTTGAATAATTAATCTGACCGCAGCTTGAACCCTTTTGGAATGAAACGGCCTTAAAGTGGGGTTGGTAAGTTTGAGGAAACGGCTCGAGATACCACTTTTGTATATTCCATGGGAATGCCCTCTTAACATCCGATAAGCAATGAAATACCTTAAGTGCTTTGACAAAAAAATTCAATAAAAAAATTGTCATCGTTGGGAAGCGTATACGTTAAAAGCTGAACCATCCATCTGACCGCGCAAATATGGATTGGCCTACTGCCCTGTCAGCCCTTCCAATCTGTGGCCAATGTATCTCGGTGCCCTTCCATTGGGTCAATGTGCGCTTCGGTGTGTGTGGAGGAGGGGCCTCTGGTAAGGGAAGTGGCAGATTTTTTCCGGTGTATTTATAGGGTTTGCCAGAAAACTGACCATGATCAAAATCGATTATTCGGCAGCCTGGCGAATAATAATCGATATTCCGAACCGACCCCCCCCCCCGCGGCAGAAGAATAAAAAAACTCAGACCGAAGGGAATCCGTTGTTTTGGTTCTACTTTCCCCTTTGGACTTGGTAAGTTCGAGTAGTTCCACGAGGTGGGGGAAGGAACTCTTTTTTACCTGCCGGCTTTGTTCATCTTAGTCCGCCGTGGGGTGAGGAAGGGGGGGGTGGGGCGGGGTCGGTGGTGTACGGGCTGCAGCAAGCAGTCCTGCCTCTTGCACCGCACGGCCTTCCCAAGTTTACAGAAAACTGTGGGTGTGGGACATGGGCCATTTTTACAATTATTAAAAATATTACTAATTAGCAAATTAGTTCCTATATTTTTTGGTTTGAACTAAGCAGAAAAAAACATATTAATAATAAAAAATAATATAAATAAAATCGATCTAAAATAATTCGATTATGGAGACTGGTAAACGAATAATTCGAATATCGAATAATCACTGGCAAATCCCCTACCCACCCTTTAAGTGTAACTAAAGTAAACTAGGAAAACACATCTAAAAAAACTGAAGCTTTTTTCTTGTAAACGATGTAAGGTGTGTTTATTTTAAAAAGGTGCAAAGCACCCTAAATATGCAATTATAGTGTCTGTTCCTGTAGTAACCTCTGCAGGTAAGACACAATGAAAGGGCTCAGGCTTACGAATAATTGATGGTCTTTTGTGAGATTAATAGCAGAACGCAGCGTCTTCGCTCTGTTAATGTCAGGGCGTGAGCTGGTTAATTTCATATGAGTAGTGCTGTATTTAATATGAAGCGGGCTTGAAATTAAACACACTAAGAAATAAGCAATAACTGCTGATGCACGCTGAAATGAAGAGACAGAGCAGGAGGCTAGATGGCATTATCAGCGATACATGGCTGAAAGTTATGAAAACACAGATCACTAAACTGATACAGTGGGGGAAAGTGAACAAGTGATGGGGGGTCTTCCTTTAACCTTGAGCCTAAATCAAGGCACTTACCTCTGAATGCTGCAGGTGGAAGAGTGGAGGATTACAGTTTGTTATACTAAAGGGAAGATATACGTGGGGACCCATAAGTCCCCCTGACCTGGGTCGATATGTGTCCTTACATTCTCTGCAAGAAAGCTGCATCAATTAGTAGACTAATTGACCACAGAAAATTAATCACCAGAATTTCTATAATCGATTAGTTGTTTAAGTCATTCTTCGTGTAAACATGGCAGACCAATTCCCTTTTTATCCTCTCAATCTGTACTGATGTACCGATAATAATCAAGAAATGTCAGTAGAGATAGGCCAAAGATTTTCTTTTTAGGTTTTTAGAAACAGTTTTGATATGAAAATGCCTCCAGAAAGCACTAAAAATGTAATGGGATCCTTATCAAAGTGTTTTTTAATGTCATTTGTTTGTTTGTTTTTGCAGAAAGAAAATGTTTTATTTGCTGATATGATTGGGAGTTGGAGGGAGAGAGAAAGAGGGTTGAGATAAACCAAAAGTCCCACGGCTGAAATTGAACCCTGGGATGTTGTGGTTATATGCTGGAGCTCTTTATCAAAAAACATCCTTTTAACCCCTTAAAATATAGGCTGTTCTGTTGCTTCTTATTGCAGTTGCAGAGAGAGCTGAGCAGCCGGCGAAACGAAGACTTCGACGTTAAAGATGGCGGCTCGGACCCGAGAGGCGTGTTTTCTCCTCAGGACAGTCCCTGCATCGCCCCTCGCTCCCCTCGCTCCCCCCGCTCCCCTCGCTCTACCTCCACCCCACTCCCTGCCCCCCCCAGACGCTCCCACTCTGACTCCGAGGCCATGCTGGAGCATCAGGGGGCCGTGCGGAGGCTGAAAGGCCCCACGGAGAACCTGTTCCTTGACGCTCTGTCTCTGGACCCCCTCAGCAGCCTGGAGGTCCCGCCCCCCTCCAGACTGAGCGAGAGCGACAAGAGGTTCCCCTGCATGAAGGAGGTAACACATCCACCAAGTTACTTATTTAAAGGTCAAAATCCACTTTTTCATGTCTTTTCTACATCAACACGTGTCCCCTCTGCGTAAAGAGATTCTGAACGTTTCAGGAAAATAATTCGTTTTCATTTTTGGATGTGAGGGAAGAAGAAATTAGGTCAAAATTGAGCATTTAGGATACATCACATTACACTCTAGGGTGTTAGGCATTTCTCTTAAGCCATACTGTAACATCAACCTAATGGCATTTTTTTTAGACATTTTATAGATATTTTAATAAGTGAATTAGTCCTGAACAGCCAAGACAATTTCCTCGGGTGTCACTCAAAAACCTGAACCTCAAATTGCTAATATTGGTTTTAGTTTTAATTTATTCTTAGATCTTTTTTTAGAAGGTTTCTCTGTTCGCTACAACATTGGATGTAGCTCAGTGTAGCTGTAAAAATAATAGCTATAAGCTTATATAGCCGGGGAGGCGAGCAATGGTCTGAGAAAAAAACCTCTGATATTGAGTTTGTAAATTTACGAGGAATTATTTTTTAATATTCTCTTTATTTTTAATTATAAATTCACAAATGTAAGAGAACAAAACTCCTCTGAGAAATGTGGTGGCAAAATTAAGTGATGTGATTAATTCATTCAACGTATGTCAGAATACATTATTTACATATATATATTTTAACTTACAGTGGCACTTATATGCCTTAGTACTTTTCAAATAACAGATATTTAAACATTTCAACAGCTGATTTCTCCCCCGGATGTTACCTCCTATACATCATCTTACACTGGAAACGTTCTCACATGGTTGATCCGTTGTGTTTCAGGCCCTGAATGAGATTTCGGAGAGAGACGATGATCTTGGCAGCCCGGAGGACGACATGGCTGTGGGCAGTCTGCTCAGGTAACCTAATGAAAAAGAAGTCAAACTGAGTTCAAAGAGTATTTTACGGGTAAACTATTCTATTACAAGCTGCTGTATATTAATAGATGTCAGCAGTAAACACTTGCTGCAGATTTTCCAGCCTCCTGCTAAACTTCTGTTGCTCATACATACACATGAATCCCTCCGGAGACCGGCTGTGATTTTGCCCCTGGTGAACTTTTGTGAAACTTTCTCAAGTGGTGGAGAAGTGATCCAGCTCAGTGTGCTGTTAAATAATTCAAAACAGGTTTAGGTTAGTGTATCTGTATAGTACATTTAAGACACAAAGGCAATTTAAAGTGCTATACACAGGCAATAACCCATTCTTACAAAAAAAGACATTGCAAATACACATAATGGTGCCAGAAGTGCTGCAGTGCAATGGTAAAACAAAGTGAAATGACCTCTGGAAAGGCATCATTATAGAGAAAGGTTTTCAGCCTCGATTTAAAAGAACCCAGATATTCAAACTTCTTGAATATCTGGGGCTGACCTCAGATATTCAAGAAGTGTGTTTCAGGTCTGCGTAGCTTAAAAACAAAAATAGAAAAGATAATTTGGTTGAGATGTTGTTTGCTTTCATTTTCCTGTTTGAAGTACACTGTTTGTGCCTTTGTGTGTTTTCCAGAGCCAAGTCAGTGTGCTCCATGAGCGACTTCCAGCGGTTGATGGACAGCTCGCCGTTTCTCCCCGACAAGACTCGCCACGATGATCTGGGCCAAGACGACGTGACCCCTCCTCTGTCTCCGGACGACCTCAAGTACATCGAGGAGTTCAACAATAAGGGCTGGGGCTTCCCATCATCTGCGTCCGGCTCGAATCCTGCCCTGGAGGAGTGGACAGACAAGCCTCCAGCCTCCTGGTTCCTCACCACCAGCGCCACCCTGACCACCAGCACCCTGAGCGACCCCGAGCACTGCCTAAAGTCCCCGCTGAGGGGCACCGCGGGGGGGGCTGCCGGGCTGGGAGTGGAGCACTACGACGTGTTGCTCCACAGCCCCACCCGAGCGGGGGCAGCTGAAGACCCAGACTTCCTGTACGCCAAAGGGACCAAAACCAGGAGCGGAGGGGAGGAAGGTGTGGGGGCCAGCGGGCCGGACGAGGTGTTCAGCGGGGGGAGGTGGACATGTGGGCTCCTGGAGGGAGGGGGGTTGAGGACTTCTCCTAGTCAGCCTCCTATCTGCCCCACTGTGGGCTACACTTCCTCTCTGGAGCTGCAGTTATCGAGGAACATGAGTGACGACATGAAGGAGGTGGCGATCTCCGTCAGGAACGCTATCCGATCCCCGCCCGGGCCCGTGGTGCGAGACACCGCCTGCCAGACCAATGGACTCAGCACCCGAGGCACGCAGACCACCCAGACCATCAACGTGGGTCTGCAGACGGACCTTCTGAGGACCCTGACCAGCAGCCCTCACCGCTGCCTCACCCCTAAAGGAGGAGGCACGCCGATCTCCTCGCCGTCGCGCAACACCAGGAAGACCCAGTACTCTCCAGTGGTCCAGAGTAAGTTTGAGCGTCCGTGCTGCTCGCCAAAGTACGGCTCGCCAAAGCTCCAGAGGAAACCGTCCATCACCAACAACAAGGCCGATCTGCCCAGCAACAAAGCCCCGACCCCTACCACGCCGCAGAAGAGCAGCAACGAGTCTGCGTGGGCTCGCTCCACCACGACCCGCGACAGCCCCGTCCACACCACCATCAACGACGGCCTCTCCAGCCTCTTCAACATCATCGACCACACACACGTTGCCTACGAGCCCATGCCCAAGTTCAACAAATCCCCCAGTCGCTCTCGCCCAATCACAGAGTCCGGTCCAGTTCAGGGGGCCATCGCAGTGGACCCCAGGAACGAGTGTTTACGGATTGTCCGAGGTCGCTCTCCAAGCCCAGTGCAGCTGATACTGGAGAACGTAGAGGGGGGGAGCATACGGCAGGATCTGTCCGCCCCGCCGGGATACACGCTGGCTGAAAACACGGCCCGCATCCTCAACAAGAAGCTGCAGGAGCAAGGACTCAGAGAGGAGAGGAGGCTTCAGACGGGGGGGCAGAGCGGCAGCAGGCAGGCGGACTCTGACAGAGGACAGTCCGGATGTATAGAGGTAAATATACAGGCAAACCGGATCCATCGCTTCTTCACTCATTTGATCTGGGGTCCTTGTTTTATGACGCAAAAATACCTATGACTTGTGGATTGAAGATAAACTTTAAAGCATCGGAGAGAAAGCTGAAGTTGTAATTTGACTAAAATGTTGTTTTTTCTCAGATCGAAAGCACTGACTGATGCAATGGTAATGTCAAAATATTTGACCCTCTTCAAAAATACTGAACTTTCCATCATGGCTGTACACTCTTTAAGGTTTCTTCTTCTTCTTCTTCTGTACTTTCTTCTGCACTGTCGTGTCTTTCTTTTTTATTTCTGTATCTTTAACTTTCAGTGAGGCCCGACCGAAACCTGATTTATGCGTCTGATTATTGGAGGAGTGAAATTAATGATCCAACAGTAATGATCTGAGTTAATCCTTATCAGAAACTCTCCAATTAAATGTTTTTCAGTGGAGCTCCTCTACGCCAAATGAACCAAAGAAAAGCAATAATTTCACTCCTTAAAATCAGCGCTGTGACACATCGGTTGGGCCATTTTCACCACCCATTCAGCTGACCTGTGGGAAAAATAAAAGACGGACAGAAAACCATCTTTCTGGTCATGGTTGAATGATGAAACAGAAAAGTGCTTTTAGTTTACTGTTTGTTCTGGCATGCCTCTATAGACAGATTACAATTCTGAAAAGTAGGTTTAAACTGTATTAAATCTCTACATTAAAACAATGTACCAAAGTCTTACTGTACATATAAACCCATAACATTAACAGTGAGCAACATAATCCCACATATGGTGGTTAACTAACATGCAGGATTGACCAGCTGCTGCTCACTGCAGAACAGACTAGATTACGTCTGATATGTGATTTTATAGTAATATACGACTGGGCTTAGATCAGTTATTACTGTTTCTATGTGCCTCAAATAGATATACACACAGTCGGGGTATAATATATCTTTAAAGAGGCCTATTCAAACTATTTTAAAGGTCAACCAGTAACCCGAACGCAATGTTGGAATAGTCGTGAAACAGTCAATTTACTGGAAAAGTTAGTTCACTGTCGGTTTTAGGTGATCTAGTTTATTAAGACTGCTACTTTAATGGTGCTTTTCCACTGCAGGGCCTCGCTCGGCTTAGTACGGTATAGTTAGGCGTTGTTAGGCCAGGCTCACTTTATGCTGCGTTTCCATTACAGTTTAAGAACTGGGGTAGTAACTATAGTAACGCAGTGTAGGCGGAGCCGTGACGTCATCTTCAATGAGAACCACAAAACCAACATCAGCCGTTAGCTGTTAGCACTCAAGCTCACAGAAACTGTTCAGAAACTAGACAAAAGTTAAACACAAACCACAGACTGTCTGTGTCATGGCGAATACAGTCGCTGGTTTATTTATGTCTGTATAGGCCGTTGTTGTGAGTGTGGACGGTCGGAGCATATACTGCGTTAGCTTAGCCGATCTCCATTCAGAAAACACGCATTTTAAAAGGTTTCTCGCCTGCCGTCAGTCTGCAGACTTTTCAAAGCATTAGTTCATGGTTTTTACTAACCGGTATCAGTATGTTGTTACTTCGGCATCATTTTTAAACGTGTATTACAATTAAATCACGGTCAAATATGTTCATTTT